CTGGCAGCTCCATGTGGTGCTGCCAGCCTCCTCCTGCCCCAGCAGGGTCCTTCCTGCCTCTGAGGTTCTTGGTCCCCCTCCGGGTCCCCAACCTCCAGCCCTCTTTGCCACCTGTCCACCTTTAACTGGCAGTTCTGTGGCTCTGGGGCAGCAGAGAGGAGCACTGCCTGGCCTCGGGGCCCTCGCAGCCTTGCGGATTGCCCAGCCTGGGCTCCCTGTCTCCCGTCTTGTCCTGCTAGCAGAGGGAGCTGGTGGGGGTGCGTGTGCAGTCCAGCTGCTCTCCCTGTGCATCGGCCTTCTAGAGCCTGTAGTGTCGGCACAGCACCACTGTCCTCAGCCCTTCTCTCACGACCTCCACTGTCCCTTCTCTGGAAACCCTGTTCCTGGGCTTCCCTGCCCTGTGCACGGCTGCTGGCCAGGTCCCCCCGGCTCCTCATGCAGGGATAAGTGCAGACCTGCTGTGCTGCAGCTGGGAGCCCACCCTTCTGTGCCCTGCCACTGCACTGCCACCCCAGACCCACACCACTGCCCACGGGCTGGCCTTGTGCCCGGGCTCACGTGTCCAGCGCCCTTTGGTGCTGCCCCTGGCCCTGAAGGGTTTTAGTGCAGCAGAGGGCTTTCCTCCAGCAAAAGCTGCTCCCACCAGGAGGGGACACCGTCCTGCAGCCAGGCTCCGTGCCCCTTAGGATTTCCCTCCTGTCCTGTGGCCCACCCACCAGCACCTCTTGTCCCTGCTCCTGGACCTTGCAGCCAGGCCCCACCGTCACCACCTGCTCCAGAAGGCCTCAGCGACCACGTGGCTTCCTGTGTCACCTCTGTCTTCGTCTTGCACTCCTACAGTCTGCCCTCCCCGCGTTCGCTCATGAGCTTTTAAAACTGCCAATTAGACTTTGGCCCTCTCCTGCATAAAGCAGTCAGGGTTTCCCGTGTGCTGGGAATGCAGTCCCAGTTCCCGCCCTGGCCCGTGAGCCCCGCTCCCCTGCAAACCCCCCTTTGTTAGCCCTGGTCCTGCTCAGAGTCTGTCCCTCCTGGAGGTCTGCACCAGCCTGAGCCCAGGCACAGGACTACCTTGCACTTGGCCTCTGACCTTCCTGAGTCGTTTCCATGGCCAGGGGCTGCATCGGCCCTTCCCCCATGGTGGGAATTCCCTGGAGGGTGGAGCCTCCTCTTGCCACCCTAGGGGCAGCAGGTGGAGTGATGCCACAGGTTCGAAGTGTCACTAGTTTGTGCATGGAATGTGACTGGTGTCGGTGGACTGAGAGGCCTGGCCTGAGGCGCAGATGCAGGGGGAGCTGTTGCCAGAGGCGGTCCTTTCGGCCCAGGTTCACGTTGCACGTGGCCCCAGGGAGACAAGCCTACGGTATCTAGAAAGAGTAGCTAAGAGGCTCAGAAATCAGAGTTCAGTTGTGGGAGCTGATCCTCAACCAAGGTAAACGTCTGGAGTATCCCACCTCTGACCTTTGGGGTCTTGTTTCAAAGGTGGCTTGCTCTCAGTGGGTCAGTGCAGTACCATCCTGATCGGCTAGTGGGCAGAGCCACTCTGCCCTCAGAGCATGTGAAAGTCAGAGAAAACCTGTCCATCAGAACTTCCGTGTCCCATCATTGCTTTCCAGGATGGGAAGGCCTGTGCATGCATGTGTAAGGGCACGTGCGTGTGCAGCCATGTGCACTGTGGGTGTGCACGTGTGCTTCCATGTGTGTATATGTGAGTGGGAGGGTGTGTGTGCATTGTGTTGGTATGTGTGCATATGTGTGTGTACTTGTTCCTGTGTGTGCAAGTGCAGGTAGCACGTGTGAATAAGAAGGAGTGTGTATATATGTGTGTTAGTGGGTGTGCATGTGTGTGTGTGCCTGGGTTTGTGTTCAGATGCATAATTGCAACTGGACCTGGTGCAGGTGCAGAGTAAAAGGCAGGCCAGTGTCCTTGGAGGCTGTGGGTTCCCTGAACACCATTCAGCTGCGTCACAGCTGGAGTCCCCATGGCAGTCAGAGCCACAGCTTGCTGGCAGAGACTGCACAGCTCAGCTTCAGACAGGTGCCCACAGTAAGCTGTGGAGCAGGGCATTAGTGCTCGGCACCAGAGCACAGGGTAGAACCAAGACCTGGTTCTCTGAGCAAAGTGTGTTGTCTTGATGTGAGGCCAAAGGCAGTGAGGCTGTGACACTTCCGTTACGTTTTTGAGCATGGTGGCTTAATTAGTGGCTAGACTGAGAATCACAGAGTTAGTTTTAATCACTTACAGGGTAATTACATCTGTCACTTTAAAATCTGTATTAAGTCTTGCTTGAAGTAATTTTTATTGATAAGTTTCTGACTCATACTTCATGTGAAGTGTGATAGACCTCATTGTAGATCTTTGAAAATATTTTCAAACCAAAACGTATTCCTGAGTGTCAGGACAGGGAGCAGTGTGAGAAGACAGGAAAGCTGTTCACTTCCGTTTGGATTGTTTTTTACGTTCAGGGAAGGTGCGGCTTCTCCTCCAGGTGCCGTGCATGTCTAGCAGATGATGGGAAGCTCTGAACGTTGGCTCAGTTATTTGGAATGCAGCTCCTTCCAGCCATGATCACGTCACAGTAGTGTTGCTTGCACCTCTTGCCCCCTGGGCGCTGTGCTGAGCTTTTTACATGCTTTATCTTGCTTATGGTTCTCCCGTCTTGGAGGCTAACGGAGGCATCTGAGATTCAGCGCAGATGAGCCGTTTGTTTGGCACACCCCCCGCTGGGCCCTCCTCTGTCTTCCCCACACAGACTCCTGATGGCATTAATTCTTGAGGCCATGGGCACACCCAGAATTAAGCATAAGCATCAAAATTGCTATGGATATTTTGGTTGTCTGTTATTTAAAGTGATCTGTGATCCTGTTTATTTGTCCCTGTGCATGGTTACCTGAACTCCAATGAAATTAAAAGAAATGTTTTCTTTTAAGATGGATCCTGGAATTCAGAACCTCAAAAAGTGATCAGACTGGGCGTCCTGCCAGTTAGAAGCCTCCTGCTGATGGAAGACACCTTGTGGGCAGCGTCTGGCGGTCAGGTGTTCCTCATCAGCACAGAGACTCATGCTGTGGAGGTGAGTCCTCTCAGGTGGCTGCGTGGCGTGGGGAAGGCATTTCAGAGCAGGGTTCCTGGTGAGACACCGGGTGCTGTGCAGAGCCCGGGGGCTGCGTGCCAGAGGAGGGGAGTGCCTGACGGGGCCAGTGGCCAAGCGCTCTGTTGTGGTTCCCTGGGCACGGCAGCAGCTGGCACCTCGTGGCCTGGCCTGCCAAAAAGTTCCACTCTTACATGGCTTTTACTGTAAAGGCCTGTGCCCAGCTGTCCTGTTTACCCACGACCATCTCTCGCCCCGTCTTTCTCTAAGCAAACACAGGGCACACGGGCATTTTTTTCAGCCATTAAAATGATTCTCGTCATGATTACACCTTCCTTTAATGCTCACATACAAGGTCATAGAAAGTCTGTCCAGGTAGGTGAGGGTCCAGCACCTGTCTGAGGACATGGTCCATTGACTATGTAAATAGCTGCAAGTTCAGGAACAAACTTGGGTCATTATCGACTCTCAAGATGTTGTCCAGAGGTTTCCTAGGGGGTGTATCAGCTCCCCGGTGGGGACCAGGCCACTGTCCTGGTATTTCAGGATGAGCTCTTGTGGCGTGTTCTGTAAGTACACAGGGAAGTGGAACTTCGGCTCCCAATAAGGAGAACTTCATTTTGGGTGTGTGCTGGTGATGAAACCCAGGGCCTTGCGCATGCTAAGCCGTGCTCTGTCGCCCAGCCACACCGCCAGCCCGAAGCATCCTCTGAATTGTGGTGCAAAGCTGGAGAGTTGCTGGCAAAGTCAAGTTCTTGAGAACAGGTGTGGGTGCCGTCTCCAGCCAGAGAAGGACTCTGAGGGCGCTGCAGGGGATCAGGGCCTGGTTAGAGCCACAAGGTTCCTGGTCGGGGTCCTGGACAGACTCAGGCCTGACTTCTCCCCTTGGGCCACCACTAGCCTTCCTGTGTTTTTCTGGTTGGTATTTTTGGTGCTGTGGCTTGTTCAGTGTACCCAGACCAGTCAGGGAAGCGTGGCCACCAGGAGCCCCTGAGCTGTGTCATCCCAAGAGTCTTGTAGTCCAGCCCCACGCGGCCTTCCTACGGGGATGTCAGAGGCCAAGGGAAGGAAGCACAGTTAAAGGATGCAGTGCCCAGAGCACAGCCCGAGAGCAGACTGGATGCCAGTTAGCACACGGCTCTGCAGCGTCTTCAGGGCGAGGCTGTGGCGGATTCAGAGTGTCAGCCTGACACGTCATCCTGGGGCGTTGTCATTGAGTGCAAGACGAACTGCACCAGGCTGAGGCCCAGGGGTGCAGAATCTGGGTTTCATTGTTGTGTGGGTTTCCCTGGGCAAGGTCTGTGATATGACCTGGTGGCAGGGCCAGTGTGCCCCGTGTCCCACCTTGGGCTCCTCCTCTTATGGGCTTCGGGGGGTTGTTAAGCTCCAGTGTCGTGTTCCTGGTACGATCTGGGATGCCTCCAGGTCCAAGTGCTCCTGATTTCATTGACAATTGGGCAGGAGGTTATTTGCCAGGTTGTGCCAAGGAGTGCCAAGGTGTGCCAAGGAAGGAAGGGCTGCGGACTTGTGCTTGGCTCTTTCTACCATGGCACTTGGACCCAAGCAGAGTAGCTCCTGGCCAGCTGCTGCAGCATAGAATAGGGGACACAGGGACAGGCACAGTCTGGAGACGGCTGCTCCTCACCGTGGAGGGACGCAGGGCCACAGCCTGCTGTCCATGACAGGTCTGCCCGTGTCGTCCTGTGCCTGGACAGGAGGTGGGACCTCTGGCTGACATCAGCCAGGGAGGAGACCGCCATTGAGTGTGCAGCAGGGCTCCCAGCAGGCACTCTGAGTATGGGATTTCAGGAGGACGGTGCACTAGAGTGGACAGCAGTGCTGGAGGCAGCTTGGGAGCTGTGCTAGGGGTGAGCTGCTCTGGGGATGAGCTTGCAGAGGAGGCTGAAGACGGGGCACTGGCCCTTCAGGGCAGAGGGAAGGGTGAACGGCCAGGCTCTGGAGCAGACAGGATGTCTGCCTGCACCACTCTGGAGAGCACACAGCCCGAGGCTCTGACCAAGCAGCTGGTCAGGAGGAAAGGGATGGCCTGAGGGTAGAAGTTGAATGGAGGAGGAGCAGGAAACCCTAAGAAGTCCACAGAAGATTACTACCACCCCGAACAGAGTGCACAAGCCAGCAAGGCCACAGGTTCCCAGGCCACTGCCCAGGAGTCCAGCAGAGGACTGGCAGTGCTGAGAACACCATCACCAAGAGGGAATACTTAGAGATAAACCTGACAGAGAGTACAGGCATGTGCCCTGGAAACCAGCGGGAGACCCCCTGTGTAGATTGGAAGGGAGGGTCCCAGGTGGCCACAGCACCTGCAGATGGGGCAAGCAGATCCTAGCACTTGGTGTGGAATGAAGGGGTCCGGCATGGCCAGAGTAATGTGGGAAGGCAACAGAATTGGAGGACTCACCATGCCCATCTCAGCCTCTCCCTGAACAGCCACAGTGACCAGGGCAGTGTGGCACTGGCTCAAGGACAGCATGTAGACCAGGGAAGTAGAGCGCAGGAGCAAGAGCATGTTCCGACTGTGAACAGCCCAGTGGCGGAGACTGTCTGCAGCCGTTGCCCTGGGCCCAGGCCACATGCAAATGCTGATGTGGGTGGGTCAGACCCAGCAGAAGAGCTCCAACCATGAGCACTCTCAAAGGAAGCCGAAGGGCCAGTCTGGTGACCTCGGACCAAGCCACAGCTTCTTAGGTAGGATTCCTGGCCAGGTGCAGTGGCCTGGCCTATGATTCCAGCAGGTGGGGAGGCTGAGGCATGAGGATTGTGAGTTGAAAGCCAGCCTCAGCAACTTAGTGAGACCCTGTCTCAGACTAAAAAGTGAAAAGCCATGCAGATGTACCTCAGTGGTAGAGCATCCCGGGTTCAAACCCCAGTACCTGAAAGAAAAGAAAGGAGGAAAGACGGTTGGGAGAAAGGAAGGGATGGGCGGAAGGGGGGTGGGAGGAAGGACATTAGGGCTGGGAAAATAGCTCAGTGGTAAAGCACCCTGGGGTTCAATCCCTAGAGCCACCAAAAAAAAAAAAAAAAAAAAAGATGACACCTAAATCACAAGCAGCTGTGTCAGTGGGAAAAGAGAGAAACTGGATTTCACTCAAATTAAAACTGTGCTTCAGGATACACAAGAAAGTAGAAAGAATGAGGTAGAATGAATACAGCTCATGTGATATGATCACATGTCCAGTACACATAGCAAACCAACAGTGGGCAAAGGAACTGGACAGACTGCCGCAGTCTGGCTGGGCACAAATCGCGAGCCACTCAAGCAGGAACAAACTTTATTTCCCAACTCCCACGAATGCTACGCACGCAGGCCACGCGGCCTTCCCACACACCATACACCAACCGGAAATCCTTCCTCCGGCACTTCCCCAACCAACGGGAACTCCCCAACTCCCCAGAATCCCCGGGAGAACTCCAAAGTAGCCGGCCTGAGGCGGACAGCAGGGGTGTAATATACAATTGAATCACAGCTTAACTTAACCATCGCCATCTCAGTGGCTTGCTGGCATCACCTTTCAACCACTCCCTTCTGGCAAAAATGCTGTGCCTCATTCCGACTGGGCTATGGCTCTCAGCACAGACAGTTCTGCAGAGAAGCTGCCCAGGTAGAAGTCCTTGGAGAAAGGCCAGTGGAACCAGCCAGTGCTGCAGGCCCTGGAGGGCATGTGGAGAAGCACAGGATCATGTTCTCCGAGGAGCAGGTTCCTTTCTTAGGAAGGGACACAGGTGTCCCTGCTCAGCATTTCCTGTCGCAGGTGCATCCTCAAGAGAACTTCTTATTCACATCCTCAAAGTCCTGTACACGGTGACCGAGCATGGTGCTCTATTGGTGGTGTGAATACTGCACAGATCCATCCAAGATGAAGGACAGACAACCTGGTCTCTGCAAATGGCGGGAGGTGTTCTGCCCGAGGAAGGGTGAGGTCCTGCCACCGCAGCAGGGATGGGCCTTGAGGACCTGTCCAGGAAGAGAGCCACACCAAGGCCACCGCCCTCATTCCCTTCCCATTACAGTTGCCCTTGCCCTGCCCAGGGTCCCCACACCCCTTCCCTCAGGACACAGGGGACCCCAGTGGGCAGTGGCTGGCTGCTGTGGGGTGGACACATGTGCAGTCTGTCCAGGGCACACTGGCAGGACCCGGTTTGCTCCCTGTGGGGGCCAGCCCCCTGAAGTGCACACCTCCAGGCTTGTGGTCCCAGCCCTGGGTGCCCAGCCTGGGGGTCGCCCCACTGCTGTGCGGTTCCCAGTGAAACGTCTGTGGCCGTGAGATCCAGCTGAACCCAGCCGGCCACTCGGTGCTGGCCAGGCCCCGGCAGGGGCTCTGTGGCTGCCCTGTTTCAATTAGGGCTCCTCAGCCCTGGCGAGGCCTGGGTAGCCGAGTGTCGCAGGGAGTTCTTGGGGCACTGTGGTCTGCCCAGGGTCAAGAGCCGTTTACCTGTGGTGTCCCACTGCAGGAAGACCCGTGGTTCCAGAGCATGGTCTCCTTGTCCCAGGTCGCTGAGGGGCTCCAGCTGGACCCTGCAGTCCACAGGAATCGCTCAGCTTGGTCTCCAGGGTGGCCTTGGAGACTGCATGGAGCTTCGGCTCCAGCCACCTGACTCCTCGGCATGGCCTTCTTTTGACCACCCTCTGCAGAGTCAGCTGGAGGCCCACCATGAAGAAGGAATGGTCATCTCCCACATGGCCGTGGCCGGCGTGGGCATCTGGATCGCCTTTACCTCGGGGTCCACCCTTCGTCTCTTCCACACAGAGACCCTGAAGCACCTGCAGGACGTCAACATCACTGCCCCTGTGCACAGTGTGCTGCCAGGTACGGGAGGGGCCAGCAGGGGACAGCCCACCCTGACCGAGGGCCCCTAGCAGAGCCAGTCAGACCCCTGGGCAGAGTGGGCAGCATGGGCGGCTGTGGGATTTCCCCACGTGTCAGCAGGCCCCGGGGAGCAAGGCCCTGAGGTCAGGAACACAGGAAGGAAGGAAGCCCAAGGTGCAGAGGTGCCCAGGAGAGTCGAGCCTGGAGCAGAGGTCGCAGAGGGCAGGGAGGGCGTGAGGTGGGGCTCCTGAGCCCCCGGCCAGAGGCCTGTGGACGCGGTGGGGACTTAAGGGTCGTTCTCTCTGTGCAGGCTCACAGCCCCTGGTGTGCATGTTCTTCCTCTGCACAGGCATGTAGCTGCTGGTGTGAACACATGTGCTCTGCGAGTGTGTACTCGTGTGTGTGAGCTTGTGGCCTGGGTGAGGTTTATGTGCGTGAGCATGTAACTAGCACACGTGAGCATGTGCCCTGTGGTATGAGTGTGTAGCAGTTGTGAGCGAGTGTAAAGCTGGTGTGGGCGAGGGGCCCGTCTGTAGCATGTGCAGCCTGTGTGGACGGGTAAGCGTGAAAGGACTGCAGGGCCCCCAGGACAGGATCGCGGGCTGCCGTGGCCATGAGTGGCCCTGTTGACCTGGGTCACTGAGGGCTCAGGATGGGAGGCAGCCCTTGCAAAGGGATTTGGAGACTGTCTGCAGCAGTGTAGAAAGGCAGCTGAGGAACGGAGGGCGTCTCCTTCCAGGCTGAACAGTGTGAGGGAGGACGGGGGCAAGAATGGGAGTGGGGAGTGGCGGGATGGAAACTGGGCAGTGGGCACTGGAGCTGGTTCCACCTTGGAAAAGCACAGCTGCTGCTGAGGACCAGAGCCCCTCCGTCAGCGGCTGGTGACCGGCCTCCTGTGCTCGGTGGTGTTTCTGTGGGCTCGGTTCCTCGCCACGGAGAGCAAGTCGAAGCGCAGACCCTCTTGGGCCACATGACTGGCAGTGTGCTCTGTGCCTGTGCCTGGGGTGGGGGCCTGGTGGGAGGGCTGGGCGTGTTGGGGGGCGTTCCTGGGGTGGAGTGCTGCTGGGGCCAGGGAGGGGCCTGGGCAGCTTCTTCGCTGCTGCCAGCTGCTGTAATGGAAATGCAGAAGGCCCCAGGCTAAGGAGGACAGGGCTCTGGTGCATGTCAGGTCCCGAGGAGAGCCCAGGCCTTGCTCCTGGATGTGTGCACACAGGCAGAAGGGAAGTGGGCTCTAGAGTCTGACCCCACCCAGGACCCCCACTGGTGCCCAGGGCCCCGTCCCCTCCTGGCCTCACCTCCTGAGGCATCACCTCATCGTAGGCACTGGGCAGGGGACCCGTCATGACCGCAGCGGTGGCCATTTATGATGCCCTGTAAGAGATCAGTAATAGAGATTCAAGGCACAGAGGGTGTCGTTCCGCAGGAGGGATGGGGACGGGGCAGGGCGTGGGGCAGTGGAGGCCTGGGGACTGTGGGCAGTGGAGGCCTGGGGACTGTGGGGGTGAAGGCGTGGGGTGCCGTGGTGACGCTTCTTTCCTTGGGGCCAGCTGTGCAAAAGGTCTTCAGGATGTGTAGAGGATACTTTTAGTGAGAAGAGCGAAGACCTGTGTAACATAACGTGCGTGTTTAGAGAAGTGGAGTGGCTTACCCCTGGCCAGAGGCATGTGGACGCTGTGGGGACTTGAAGATCGCTCTCTCAAGCACAGGCTGAGGGGACAGGTGCTGGCTGGTGGACCTGTTACTGTCGGGAGGAGACAAGTGGGATCTACCACTGCCCACACACCCACTCCTCTGGCTGCCGTGCCCAGGGTGCCTGGAGATGGGGCGTGGTGATGAAGGGCCTCCCGGGCAAGCAACCACTGTGGCCATGGCTCCAGAGGCCTGAGAAAGAGCCACAGAAATGCCTGTGGCAGAGCAGGCTGGGCCTGCTCTGCCTTGGTGTCTGTCCATCTCTCTGCTGATAGAGTCAGAAAGAAACTGAGGAGAGGAAGGCCCCGGCCAGTGTGGGCGGCGTGCACACTGTATGAGACGTCTGTGTGCCTGGCATCCCAGAATCAAGTCATGCCCGCCCAGGCTGCCCTCTCCTCTAGCCGTCCGCTGTGCCCACGAGGCCTTGTGGGCTCTGGTTTGGTGTCCTGAGGGGCAGGTTGCCTTCCAGCTCTGGGCTCCACGCTGCCTGTCCCCTGGGAAGGTGGGCAGGCTCAGCAGCACTGCAAAGGCAGAGTCGTCTGTTGTGCCTCTGAAGCCGGCTCAGGTGGTGTCCTCGGGGTGCAGCGTGGGATTGTCCCCTCCTGTCTTGTAGGGTCCCCTCTGCCGGGTCTGTGAGCTTGACTGTGTTTACGTTTAAGTGCTTGGTGTCTGGACTCCAGGAAGAATCACGTACACACGCCCGAGGGTGAGGCGAAAGTGCCTTTCTGGGCTGTCGTAGGGATGTAAAATTCAAGATGGCAGGCAGATGAAGACAGGCCCACAAAGAACAGAATTTGAAGGAAAAAAGGAACAGCCACACCCTTGCCCAGTCTGTCCTTCCTTGAGACGGCAGCAGGCTCCGACCACGGAGCCTGGGGCTCTGGGCCCTGTGAGCGGGTCTGTGCCTTCTGTGTGGGTCAGTTGTGGAACCAGTTAGCCAGGCTGCTTCTGTGGCACCCCCACCACACACACCACGTGGTGCCGTCCAACAGCGAGAGGACACAGTTTAGGACTGAGATGTGCATTTGTTGGGCTGCTCACAGGATGTCCAGCACAGGGTGAAGAATGGGCAGCTGTGGACTTGAGGGCACTGTGCCTGCTCCAGGCCTTAGCCAGCCAGGGTCCTTTGCACCAGACACAGATGTTTCCTGCATGGTGCAGCCTACACAAAGCAGGACGTGTGGGTCACATGTAGCCCTTCCGTGTCCCTGCCGGGCAGAAGTGATGTGACCTAATAAAAGCACCAAAATTTCCATTTAAAATAAGCCACCGAGCTTGTTGAAGGACATTGAGCAGCTTAACCTGGGCGCCAGGTGATGGGTGTGCCAAGGGACATGCAGAGCAGCCGGGTTTCCTCCTAGCGACTCGGCAGTGCCCGGGGCCTTGCATCCCAGGACACGGGCAGCAGTACTGTCTGTCGTGCCTGGCCCTGGGCCCCTGGGAGAGCGAATAAGCAGCCGTCCCGGGGACTGGTCTCTTACCTGTTCCTCAGTGGTTTCAAACCAGTTAGGAAAGAGAACCCAGGTTTTACCTGCTTCCACCTGGTCACTAACCTGAGCTCTGGCTGTGCTCTGCGGAGCCTGGGGCCCACTGCTGCTGGTCACCTCCTGCCCGCCCTCCTCCACCCGGCCTCCTGCCCTAGAGGCTGCGTGGGCCTGTGTGTTTATTCAGGAGACACACTTCTGAATCAAGGGCTCCTTGGCAGAGGCCAGGAGAGCTCCCAGGTGACTGGTGCTGAAGCTGAGGACTGGGGAAACTCCGTCAGAGGGGCGGAGCCGGAGGACGCGCGGCCAGCAGGAGCAGGGGGCTCCCCCTCCTGGTTGGTGTGCTTTTGACAACATTACAAGCCCTTGTTGGAAATCTGACTGTTCAGAGGGGACTTTTGAAAGCCCATGAGTTGTCTCTGAAGTTGTTTGTAAAGATATTTCAGATGTTTCTTCAGAGTCCTAAGCCAGGGGCTGGGGCTCAGGGCAGAGCGCTCGCCCAGCATGTGCGAGGCCCTGGGTCCGATCCTCAGCACCACAAAAAAATAAGTAAAGTAAAGGAACTGTGTCCATCTACAACTAAAGAAATAAATATTTTTTTAAAAGCCCTAAGCCAACACTTGAAATTTATAATTCACTGTGGAGGAAAATTCAATTCAGACATTCCTCTGTAGAAAAACTGAAAGATTGTTTCCCAAACCAAAATATTTTTGAATGTCAGATTAAAATGACTGTAAAACAGTTATTATATTCATTTGCATAGTTTTTAATTGGGTCTGGGCCCTCTCAAAGTCCAGGCCCCTGGGACAGGCAGGTGGGGCACCACGGGAATGGAGTAGACCGTTCCTGAGCACACCCTCCTCCTCGTCCTGGCCGCAGGGAGTACAGCCGTCCCCTCGGGTGGTGAGCAGCTTCTGTGTCCTGCACTCAGGTTGTGGAGAACGCTGTTTGTGAAACCCAAACAGAAGTGCAGGGCAGCGAGTCAGTCCCAAGGGCACCTCCCTGGACTCCTGTGCACATCTGTCCCTGTCTCCTCAGATGATGACACTCAATGCTCAGAACACTCACCACGGCTCAGACGGAGGCGCCAGGAAGATTTTCCTGCTCCTCCACACTCCGCTGAGCCTGGCTCGAGGATGGAGGGGCAGCAGGGTGTGGCCTCTGCCGAGCGTCCACCCCAGCCGCCTCAGCGCCTGTCTCAGGAGCTTCGTTTTGCTTTGTTTTGTGGAAATCTGTTTTACTCCTTTCAGATGCACTTGACAGTGCCGTGCATTTTGACATATTGCACGCACATGGCATAAGGCGTGCTCCAAGTCGGGTCCCATTCTGTGGTGCACGTGGTGTGGCGTTTCCTGGTCATTTTCCTATATGAAGGAGGGGTGACATCTGATGCATTCTGCCGTCTTTCCTGCTCCCACCCCCTCCCTTCCTTCGTTCCCCTTTGTCTAATCCAATGAACTTCTATTCCCTCTCCCCCCTTATTTTGGGTTAGCATCCGTATATCAGAGAACATTCAACCTTGGTTTTTTTGGAATTGGCTTATTTCACTTAGCATGACAGTCTCCAGTTATATCCATTTGCTGGCAAATGCCATAATTTCTTCTTTATGGCTTAATGATATTCCATTTTGTATAGATGCCACATTTTCTTTATCCACTCATCTGTTGAAGGACACCTAGGTTGGTTCCACAGCTTGGCTATTCTGAGCTGAGCTGCTGTAAGCGTTGATGTGGCTGTGTCCCTGTAGGGTGCTGGTATTAAATCCTTTGTCTATATACCGTGGAGTGGGTAACTGGGTCAAGTGGTGGTTCATTCCAGGTGTTCTGAGGAGTGTTCTCGGGAGCTTTGAGAAGGAAACCACCTTGCTCACACAGGGCAAGCCCAGGTCAACCACGGCTGCGCTGTGTCCCCGCCCCGGCCCTCCGCAGCCAGAACTCCAGGGCTCCTGGGATCCTGAGTGCTTTAGCTTTTTAACAAACATGAGTCTGTTTAGATGAAACCCAGTGCATTGGTTTTGAGTCTGTTTCTTTATTTTTCCTGTTGCCTAAACATTTCATGGAGTGACTTCTGCCAGTCCGCCTTGGCCCTGGAGCTGGAACGGGTCAGTGCAGAGCTACTGAAGACAGCTCGGTCTACAGAAGACGGGCCCATCCCCTGGACGCTGGCTTGGCCCGGGGGCGTGGGCCTGCCTACCTCCCAGTGGTGCAGAGCGGGCAGGGTTGGGGCAGCTCTGGCACTGCCCTGGAGAGGAGAGGCGCGTGGGAGGCCCTCCCTCCACTGCCCTGTCTGGCCTGGTCAGAGCCCTGGCTGCGCAGAACAAGGGGCTTCAGGGGCCTCTCTGACTCCCCGGCCTGCCTCTGTCCTGACACCATGTCTGTGAGGTTCTCTCAGGCAGCGTCTTGTCTGTGGTGTGCCAGAGTGTGCCCTTGTGGTTAGCGACGGCTCTTCACGTGTGTGTCATGGACACGTGTGGCTGCACTTCCTTGAAGCAGAAGGTTTCAGCAGACGCCCAGGGGCAGCAGGGAGGTGCCAGTGCCTCAGTGCCCTTGTTCCAGCTGCAGGTCCACGAGCCTCCCCCGTGTGCCTTCTCACCTGGGCGGGGGGCACACACAGGTGTGAGCTCTGCTGTGGCTCATCCTGCCACCAGGCTGGGTGTCGGCTTGGGAGACTGGCACCCGGTCCAGGGTGTTTCCAGGCAGCACACAGCTCCCTGCTGCCCTGCTCCGGCATCGCCGCGTGAGCCAACTGCAGGACACAAAAGCCGCTTCCCTCTCTGTTGCCCAGGGCACCAGCGGCTCTCTGTGACCAGCCTCCTTGTCTGCCACGGCTTGCTGATGGTCGGCACCAGCCTGGGTGTGGTTGTGGCCCTGCCGGTCCCTCGACTGCAGGGGATCCCCAAGGTGACCGGTGAGTGGACGCCTGCACACATCTGCCCCTCCCAGGAGAGACTCCGCGGCTGAAGTGCCGGTTGGTCTGGTTCTCCCTCCTGGGTGGAGTGGAACGTGCCCTGGTTCCAGCTCAGGCCCAGGAGCCTCCCTGTGCCTTCTCACCTGGTGGGGGGCGCACAGGTGTGGGCTCGCTGTGGCAGCAGACGGGGCCTGGTAGGTGTGGCTCCTCCCGGAAGCCCGTTTCGCGCCCACCTGTTGACCTCTGCCGCTGGGCGCGGTGGCCCTGGAGCAGCTCCCTGGGCTTCTCTGCTCCTTGGCTGGCCCCCTTCAGTGCGGCCCTCCAGGGAAGCAGCTCGGCACTGTGCCTCTTGGGACCTGACACCGAGTCCAGAACCAGCCTCCAGTCCAGGAGGCTGTCTTGAGAAATGCCCAGCCAGGAGCAAGGCGTGGGCAGAGACCCTCGCCCAGCATCTCGTTCTCAGTAGCAGGACGTTCAGAACCTGAACATCCAGGGCAGGGCAGGACAGTGCTCAGAAAGTGGCTGAGCTGGCAAGGGAGGCTGGGAAACGTGGTGAGCGTCCTCACGTCCATGCATCCTGCAGTCGGCCTGGGGGGCTGGTTAATGGACGAGGATCTGCAGGACGCTCAGCGATGGGCTTCCCTGCCTGTCCCTCCTGAGGCCCTTGGCCACGGCCCCCACCCGGGCCTGGTCTAGCAGGGGGCCTCTGCCCGCCTGTCCTGCTCCCCCAGGCACCACTCTGCTACAGCGGTGGCACCACAGCGGTGGCTCTGGGCCCTCCCCGTGGGTGAGCACCGCTGCCCGCTGCAGACCAGCTCCTGCCCGCCACCGCAGACTTCACTCTGCCACTCCACTTGCCAAGTGCTGGAGTCTCGCAGTGGTGGTGGTGGCCGGTTTTACCACTCCACCCGCCTTGGCCAGAGTAGGAACCCGGTGAAGCTGGGGCCTGTCCGCCTGGACTCGCTTGGTGAGGAGGGCCCAGTCTGCAGCCCGGCCCGCCTGGGTGGGGTAGTGCTCAGGAGCCCCAGGGGTCTCTGATAGCAGTGATGCTTTAAAATCTGAACCTCGCTCCTGGAAACTGAGAAGTCCTGATTTTAATTAAAATCATAGAATTGATTTTTCCTAAGCCCCAGAAACTTTCTGCAATGAAACAGGACAGAGTGGGGCTGGTGTGGATCAGTGTAGAGCGCTTGCCTAGCAGGGAAGGCCCGGTCCATCCTCAGCACCACTTAGACCCAAAAAAATAAATAGAAAGGTGAAATTCTTAAAACATTAACAGAAGCTGCTGAGAATATAGTCACTTAGTTTCTAAAACTGACACAGTTTAGTTTTGAACTTACAAAGTCAAGATTCAGGGCTGGTGTTTGCCTTTGATGTAAATTTGAAGGATATGGAAAATAAATCCAAAGACCTTAAAAAAAAAGTCAAGATTTAGGAAAGTTAGAACAAATGAGAAGGTATTTAATAGGGAAAACGGGGAACAGACTGTTGATGTAAAAGCCTGGTCCTGCGTTCTCTTGGATGGACCTGCGCGGGTCCTCCTTGCAGCGCTCGCCCAGGTCAGTGCGCAGAGGCTGCGGCTGGGTGGAGAGAGGCCCTGGGTGGGCGGGGCTTGGTCCCCCTGCTGTCTGCTCTCTGACTGACAGCTGCGGGCGTTGACCTGCTGCTCCCTTTTCAGGAAGAGGCATGGTCTCCTACCACGCTCACCACGGCCCTGTCAAGTTCATCGTCATGGCCACAGCGTTACACAAGAAGGACCAGGACCAAGCCAGGGATAGCCCACCTCCTGGCCTCGAGCCCCAGGAAGAGGACCAGAGGGACGTGCTCCCCACTGAGGGCACTGGCGCCAGTCCGAGCCCAGGCGACCTGGACACAGCCATCTGGTTGGCAGACTCGTGGGGACCAGTGAATCACAAGAGTGACCTGTCCTCTTCATCTGGGTCCCTGAGCCTATCCCAGGGCTCCAGCTCACTCGAGCACAGGTCTGAGGACAGCAGCACCTGTGACCTCTTGAAGGACCCCACTGCCCCCCCGAGAAGCAGGGCACGTCGGCCCAGGAAGGCCAAGGCCAGCTCGGTGCTGGTGGTGTGTGGGGGCCAGGGCCACCGGCGGGTGTGCCGGAAAGGCCGGCAGCAGCCCCCGGAGGAGATGGTGTCCTCTGTGATGGTCTGGCAGATCCCACTGCTGAGCGCGTAGGTGGACGCAGCCTCCTGGAAGGGTGTGGCCTTGGGGCCACCTCTCAGCAGGTGCAGGCCCCGTGGCTGAGGCCACCTTCACACGGGCAGAGCCAGCTGAAGTGTGTTTGGGAAAGAACGTGCAGTGCACCAGCGGCTCCCGCCTGCCCTCGGAGAGTGTGAACCTCTGCCTCCATGTGCAGGGGACAGGGCCTGGTCCTCCCGGGCTGGCCGTCGGTGTCCTCCGTGCCCCCGCACCTTCTCCTGTAGTGAATTCCTGGGGACATGTAGCTGTTCAGTAATGTGGGACTTACTAATAGTAGCTCTCAGAATAACTCTGCTTGGCTCAGATTCCCTACCCTTATTTATATATTCTATATTTGCGAGTTCCAGGGTAGAATTTATAACAGTTTTTAAAAGCCAGGTAACACACACTAGTCCAGTCAGAATGGTTTACCTTTGGAAGGGACCTAGGCTTTCCTAAGGGGTCTGATGCTTGTACCATATATTTTAACAAAGCATTATTTTTTATATTGCATTTTCTATTAAAAATTAACAGTTAAAGCCAATGTATTATCTATGGTGTTTGACAAATACTCTGCTTTGAACCAAAATGTTCAGTGCCTGTCAACGTTTAGAGTCAGGCATCAATGCCAAATCCTTCTTCCCTTGTCATATCTAACACTTTCTGGACATCCTCATCAGACATGTGTGGGTTTCAGTACTGTACTGAGTGCAGGAGAGAGCTCTGAGTTTCTGGTCCCAGGCATTTCTTGCCCCCTAGACCTGGAGTGCTGTGCACGTTTGAAATCTCATCCTGAGGACTCACAGGTGTGCTGCTGGCCTGGAAGCACCAGGAGGAATGCCCCCACTCTGTCATGGAAATGTCCCTGCAGGACACTGCTGCTGGCCTGGGAGCAGCCCAGAGGAGAGCCCCACTCTGCCCTGGGTTGGCCCTCTGCAGCTGCAAGCCCATGCTGCCTGCTGGGATGCACGCCACTGCTGAGCTCCGTCTGTTCTTCCTGTGTTTCTGTACCATGTGCTAGTACCTGGTGAAGTGGGGTCAAAACAGTAAGAAAAAAGCCTATTGCAGGCATCCCCCAGAAACATTTCTTGGCACTTTACAGATGACTAAAAATGCTAATTTTATGACTTAGCCAAATATTTTCTGAGTTGCATATACACTTCCAAGCTTTCTTAAACTGTTAGCTGCTATCTCCTTTCATAAATAAAGTCTTGTTATTAAAAAAGAAATTCGGCATTACAAGTCGCCTTTCTCCCCCTGCCAGAGACTCAGCCCTCACCGCTCTGATGGTGCCTGATGTCACAATTAGGTTGTAAGGGCAGGGCCAGAAGGGTGATCCCCTGCACAAGCACAAAAGGGTAACTACACCCAGGAAGGGAGGTGTGGTCTGGCCAGTCCTTGAGCACGGACATCACCACTGTCCAGCCGGGAGACTTTGTATAAACCCCAGACACTGACTGAGTGTGGGAGAAACTGCTCTGGACCACAGGGGACCCTGCAAGAGACTCAGGCCCTCACCACTCTCCTGGTGCGGATGTCCACCATGTGAACGTGTGGCCAGGCCAGGGAGAACCCCGTGGTGCGGTCTGGGCCCAGAATGAGGCTGCGCAGCAGCTCACCTCTCTGCAGCCCCGAGGAACCAGGGGAGAGGGTGGATGGCACTGGGTTCTGAGGCAGACCAGGAGGATGGCAGGGGACTCCCTGAGACGGACCAGGAGGGAGAGGGTGATGGCAAGGTTCTTCAGGACGCTGGTGGCTGTGTGGTTTCCTGGGACGGCTTCCTGGGTCCTGCAGAGCAGGGTGGCCGGAGTGTGCGACTCAGAGCAGAGCCCTTCCACATCTTACTAAAGGAGAGGGCACTCGGGAGTGTTGGACGGAACTTGCCAAGTAGCACAGAACTCATCTCGTGACCGTGCTCCTTGGGCTCAGAAGACCTCCCTTCTCGGGGCCAGAACACCTTGGTGATACTCCATGGTGGTTCTCGGCTCCACAGAGTCGAGCCCAGGTGGCCTTGCACACAGTGGGCGTGAGAGACGGCAGGAAGACCACCTGTTATCCAACGACGCATTCGGCGGAGAAGTCTGGTCTTCTTTTTCCTGGAGTTGAATCAGATGGGCAACCAAATGACTTCTCCATTTGAAGACAGCAGAAGTACCCCTGAGAGTCCGGCCCCCCTGATGATTCAGAGGTTGAAATCCTATTCCCAAGCGCGACATCCAGAGGCGAGGCCCGCGGGCACAGTCAGGTTGTGAGGGCAGAGCCAGAAGGGCCATCCCCGCTGAGTCAGGAAGGAGCCTCAGAGCGCTCCCTCACCCTTTTCCTCCGGGGACTCTGCTGGCAGTCAGCTGCCCCTAGGAAGAGGCCTTCCCTGGACCCACCCTGCTGCCCCTTGACCGTGGACTTTCAGCCTCCAGAGCTGAGGAAACGAATCTCTGCTGTTCCTGAGCCGCCCACACTGCGGCACTTTGTTATAGCCACCCTGGACACGGCCAGCTCCAGCCGTCCCAGGCCCCCCCTGACAGTCACCGCTTGGACTCTTGACCTGAAGGCGGGATCAGTTCCCCTTGAGCGAGGACCACTTGGGAGAGCCGGTGTGTGGCTGCAGTCCCTAGTCCTCGGAGCTGGGCAGGCTGCAGTGGGGAGGGAAATCGCAGCGTGGCAGGCTGCAGCTCGGGCTGGCTGAGCTGGGAGGGTGCATCAGAGTCCCCAGGCCCTTCTCCTAATGTGTCAGTGGGACTTAGCAGCTGGCAGAAACCTCATTCTGCCCCCTGGCCTGAGTAGTCGTGTCCCTGAGCACTGGCCCTCCCACAGTGGCACATCCACCCTGCCCTCCTGGACAGCTGGCAGAGATCAGAGCCACCGTGGAAGACAGGATGGCCAGCCCTTGTCCCCACGTCCCTGTGCAATTCATGGGGCTGACACAGCAAGCCAGGCACCATGGGAGGTGTGGGTAGGACCCTGTGACAGCCACAGCATCAAGCCCAGTGTCTGCGGGGGCAGGGTGCGTGGCTGTGCCTCAGCACCACCTGCAGGTGAGGGGGGTCTGCCTTTACACCCCCAAACTCCGTGTTGTCTCGCCTCAGCTGTGAAGCCTGCTCCCTGGTTAGTCCACAACGACACTGCCCACAGAGGCCCACTGGCCACTGTGTCGATGGCGTCCTGCTGCCCGGAGACCTGCCAACCAGGTCCACTAGGAAGGTGCAAACGGGACAGAGGTGGGATGCAAGCCCCTCCCCCGGGAGCCCTGCCCCCGAGGCTTTCAGGGGCTCCCACCTCCCCCAGGCCTTCTGGATGCACTCATGAGGCTAGTGCTGTCGCAGGGTGACCCACCGTGGCTGCATGACTACAGGCCTCTTGGGATTCCGGATGGAGCACAACTGCACGTCCTACCCCAGCCCCCTGGGAGCCTCTTGAGCTATCTGCAGACTTCTGCGGGCCAGGTGCCTCACCTAGGGCCTGGGGACAGGGCAGATCAGACAGCACTGGGCCATCTGCGGCAGATTTGGTGGAGAAAGAAAACTGGCTGCCGAGTGGGCCCTATCGCGTCCTGACCGCTAGAGTCTGAGCGACAGTTCTGCAGCAGGAGTTATCACCTGTTGGAACAGCAGCACCTGGGCTCCTGGCCACGGAACAGCGTCCCGGCTCAGGCTGCCGAAACATCACACAGGAACCCGCAACTCGCCTCTCAGAGCTCTGGAAGCCACTGGTGCAAGGTGAGGGTCCCAGCATGACTGTTCTGGCTGGCAGGGGCCTGGCTTCTCACTGCCCTGCCGTGGGCAGAGGAAGCACGCTGTCCGGTGTCTCCCCTCATCCAGGTGACCCCCTCGTCACCTCCCAGAGGCCCCACTCCATGCTGCCCTGTGGGGTCAGGGCTTTGCCTACAAACCTGGGGGAGATGCCAGCCGCCATCTCTAGCAGACACTGTCCTCTGTGAACTAAGCTGCCTGTTGTGAGTGACCTCATACCCGGGGAGCTGTGGCCAGGTGGGCAGTGAGCAACCCACTGCCAGAGGGCACTGGCCCGAGCTGCAGCCCAAGAGCAGACCCAGGAGCAGAGCAGGTGCAAGAGCAGAGCCCCACACACCCATCCCACTGCCACTGTCCTCCAGAACTGGTCGGTGTGCAGGCCCCAGACAGCCCAGGCCACGGGCCAGCTGGGAATGGACGGGACCACAGGACTGACAGTTCACTGGCCTGTGCAAGGAGGCCCTGAGGAAGCCCCCAAGGGAGTCCTCCTGGGGAGCCCACAGTCCACACTCAGCCCTGCACCTCCTCAGGAAGAAGCTAGCCAGGAGCTGGGGTGCCCCAGCAGGGCGCCTGTGGGAGGCCAGGAACTGCAGCAGCTGGGGGCGTGTCTCAGGGTTGGACGCTGCACCTGATGCGCTCTCAGTGGGTGACGTAAAGCCGGCGAACCCCGGGCCTGGGGACCAAGGGGCCAGTGCAGGCACAGCCCGCCCACCCTCTCTGTCTCTCCCCCAACCACCTTATCATGGCTGCACCCTCAGGTCCTGCTGAGATTTCCAAAGACAGAAATGTCCCCCGGGGACAGAGTCAGAGTTCCATCCAGAGTAGTGGGACCTTTGACCTTCTGGTGGTGGGCAGCAAAGGAGAGAGTTCCTGAATTGCTGGGTGATGGACACTGGTCCCCATGGGAGGCCAGGACCCTCCTATAGGAAGGGGCAGGAGGAAACAAGAGGGCTTGCTGGACCGTGTCCTGGGACTCCATGGCCATCAGTAAATGCCAATGGTGTGCCGCCACCTCAGCCTCAGGCCTCCGCCTCCTCAAGCAGCCAACGTGCTGGCCGAGGGGCCGCTGCGATGGGGTGAGGAACTCGGGCAGGCCGGGGACTGGTCGCCCTCCCTACAGGCTGTAGGAGGCTGCAGCGACCCCGGGGGCTGAGGACCGTCCCAGAAACGCTCACAGCCAGCGTCCCACGGTAGGTGTTGCCCCAGGTGCCCGGGAGGGGGCCAGCTGCAGGTCTGCTTTCCTGGAATCAGGGAGTGTGTATGTTGATGGTCAGCTGCTGGAGGGGGCGAAAGCCCGTCCAGTACTTGGTGTCCCAGTGGTGTGCTGTTGAGAGCTGGGCACAAGCCCCTCTGGACTTCCTGCCCCCAACTCAGGCTTTTAGCATCTGAGCCCCGAGGCCTCAGCCCTCTCCTGGGTAAGGAGCAGGACCAACCCACTGAGGTGACCCAGGAGGGACCCAACTTAGGGCCCAGGGCAGCTGATGGTCAAGGGAACTTGACCAGGAGTGACAGAGTAGAGGAGGGGGCGGACATGGGCAGTTCCTCCCTCCACCGCCCGGTCTACAGGACAGGCTGTCCAGTCCAGCTGCAGGTGTCTGCCCATGAGGACGCCTGCTCCCTCCTCCCTGTCCCCACCTTGCTCCATCACCTGCCACCACAGGGCATGGGCCCTGTGTCCAGTGCTGCCAGCTTTTCCCAGGCCTCCGGCAGGGCCACACCCCCAAGCCCCAGGATGTCCAGGCCTGCGTGGGCGAGGTGCTCATCTGAAGCCTGGAGTTGAGTGAGGCCGACTCCTGAGAAGGGTCCTCAGGGACGGGGACTGGCTTGGGCACAGGCCATGGGAGGTGGCAGGCAAGTTGGGAGTGTCAGGAGATGGGCAGTGCACCAGCTGGACACTCTGAGGCTCTTGAGTGCTCTTGAGGTAGGCAAGGCCTTGAGGGACAGCCCCTGGTTCCTGAGCGCTCTCGCGAGATGGGGGAATGCAGGGCACTGGGGTATCAGCGGGTGACGAAGGGGTCCCTGAAGCCACACTGTGCCTCCTCGTGACTGCCTCGTGGATGTCTGTCCCCAGCTCCTGGCCGCCTCCTGTCGCGTCCTGATGGGCCAGCGCCCAGGCTGCCTGTTGGGAGACCACAGGCCGAGCCCCACGGGGTGTGTCCTGAGCTGCCTCCTCCTCCCATCTGGCTGGAAGCCTGCTGCAGGGGGCCTCGGGAGGGTGTGCCTGGTGGGCTCCAAGGCGCTTGCTGTTCCCAGTGGGGACAGAGGGAAAAGTCCTCACAGGCCAGCAAGGGTCTGCGCTGCCCTGCGGACACCCTCACGCACCATGGTCTGTCTAAGCCCCCGACGTTCAGAGCTGAGCCCTGCAGACCAGTGGACGGGGGTGTGGCCTTCTGTTCAAACTCAGACCTCTGCAGGTGCCAGGGAGCCTAGGTGGCCTGTGGTCCAGGACACGGAATAAGGACGCATCTCCCTGACCGCGGGTC